TCAGGGGCCGGGCACTCAGAAGAGATATCTCGGGTGAGGGCGCCAGGTAGGACGCGGTCAGGGCATAGGGATAAAGGTGATTGAGGCTTGTCCTATTGGAGAGGAAGGGAATGCGATGAGGGCAGGTGTTCAAGATTAAAAGTGAAGGTCCGGAGGCGGAGCGGGTCGGACGGGAGCTGGGCGAGGCGGGGCGGCGAGCGGGGCGGAGCGGGGGGAGCGGGGCGGAGCGGGGCGGAGCGGGGCGGACGGGCGGAGCGGGGCGGAGCGGGGCGGAGGCGGGGGCCGGAGCGGGGCGGAGCGGGCGGAGCGGGGGCGGAGCGGGCGGAACGGGCCGGAGCGGGCGGAGCGGGGCGGAGCGGGGCGGAGCGGGCGGAGCGGGCGGAGCGGGGCGGAGCGGGGCGGAGCGGGGCGGAGCGGGGCGGCGGGGCGGAGGCGGTGTGCGGAGCGGGGCGGCAGCGGGGCGGAGCGGGGGAGCGGAGCGGGGCGGAGCGGGGCGGAGCGGGGCGGAGCGGGGGCGGAGCGGGGCGGAGCGGGGCGGAAGGCGGGGCGGAGCGGGCGGAGCGGGGGCGGAAGCGGGCGGAGCGGGCGGAGCGGGGGCGGAGCGGGGCGGAGCGGGGGCGGAGCGGGGCGGAGCGGGGCGGGACGGGGCGGACGGGGCGGATCCGCGGGGGCGGAGCGGGGCGGAGGCGGGGCGGAGAGGGGCGGAGCGGGGCGGAGCGAAGCGGGGCGGGAGAGGGCGGGGGCGGGGCGGGAGAGGGCGGGGCGGGGCGGAGAGGGCGGGAGGGAGGCGGAGCGGGGCAGAGCAGCGGCGGACGTGGAGGGTCGCGTGCGGCCGGCGGGGCATTGCTGTCTGGCGGGTGTGGAGCGGTGCAGGGCTGTGCTTCGAGTCGAGGGCTGGATAGGCGCGAGGCGTAAACTTGCCGGTGACGCACGACGGGGACAGGCGTTACGGCAGCGGGAGGCTTCCGTATGAAAGGCGAGGCAGCCTCTCCAACAGGCTGGACAATGATTGAAGCACAGAACCAGATTTCGGCAGACTACACCGCGCTGCAAACGGCTGCGGCACTGTGCGTCCAGGGATGGAAAAAACCAGGCTGGGTTTAATTAAAATTCAGGAAATGATTTAAGTTAGTGTACTAAAGGTCTCGTGAAAATCACCAGGGTTTGAATCACAAATTGCTGTCCTCTAGAAATATGCTCACAATGCAAATGTACCTGCTTAGAATCCTCAAAATGTTCTAATTAAAACAATTACTCTCTACATTAAACTCACTAAGACAAAATTTGGACAGACACGATAACTGTTTTCCCTTAAGGATCCAATATTCTTACGACATTAATGGGCATTCTTGAGATTAATGTATCACTCACGTTGTTTGTAAAACTACGAAAATGCACATCATATGTGCAGTAAGTCAACATTCTTTATTACACTTATTTATATATCATTTCATGCCTTCGGAGTAAAGTACAAAAAGACAATCTAATTATTTTCTTTGTATAACAGTTCAAATGGTCAATAAAATTGTTTATAAATAAAATGTATTAATAACATTTCAAGAGAATAACACATAAATGTCCAAATTTGAATAAAAAGTATTAATTGCCACAATACTAATTAGCAATGTAAAATGTGGATTTACGGATGCTTCTAGCCACGGTTCCTCTGTAAGCTCAAGTTTTAATCAACATTAATATTAATTTTACCATTTGGAAATGTATCATAAAGACGTCAAGTTTCGACTTCTACTACAGTATAAAACTATTGATTAAGAAAAACTTTAAAAAAGCTATTCTTTTTATTTATATGATTTACTCTTTTTAAAATAATTGAAATTTGTAACTTCTACAATTTTCTAAGTAAAAATATCATTGTAGTAGATGTATATGTGGCACGTTTCTGAAAATTTGAAAGAAGGGTCCACGAATTTAGAAAAAAATTTTAAGCCAGGGAAACCATTTAAGAATCGAAAGTTTAGAGAAAAATCGGTAATAAAGTTAAATTCATTGTTCAGTACAATACCATAAATTGTGTTGCTTAAACTGGGACTGATGTATAATATTTCATCGTTTTTTTCTATGCTTTATATCCAATTTGAGTTTTCTTACCGCTTTTGTTGACAATTTTTTTTTCTGCTGACAAAGTACACTCTTTCGGCTCCTCATGTCTTCAAGCATTTAATCATGTACGAGTAACAATGTTCCTCTTGGTCACTCCAGTCTTTGCATTAATTTTTCACTTCTTAAACCCCACACCATTGGTAACAATAATAACACCATATTTTAACAATTTGATGAAATACTTTTTTCCCCAAATGCCAGTCCTTTAATCACAATTTTTCAAGTTTTGGAATAGAATTCGCTTGAATTTAACATTCATGTCATACCACCTAATATCTTTTTTAGGAGTTTTGGGTAGCTTAATATTAAAAAAACTAAAACTAAGTTTTTATTCTTTTATCACTACATTGGGTATTTGGTTTTTGTGCTGTTTTGTCATCAGTGTCTTCCTACACTGTTTTTTTTTGGATAATGGGCATCAGGTATGTGGTCACTTACGGGCAACAGAAGATTGGCATCTTCAGGTCTCTGAAACAACACGGCCCCGACAGTTGTGTGTTGTCACAGAGTAAGCTATTTGCTCTTATTGCATTTCGTAATAAAAGTGTATTTGTCTATCTGTCAAGCGCAATAATAGCAAAAAAAATATAAAAGAATACAAATGCTCATAACAGAAACTATGATGAAATTCCAGTTAAAATATACAACCACAAGTAGTTATGAGAAATACAACGACTCAAAAATAAGCATATACATTAAAAGGAAAATAAAAACAGAACACCACTCAAACCAATCGACGAAACCCCCCCCCCCCCCCCCCCCCCCCCCGCCCCCCCTCGTTATGAAACGCAACAGGAAAATAAAGATAATGAAACA